TCTACCTCTCTCTCTCTCTCTCTCTACCTCCCTCTTTCTGCCTCTCTCAAATGTATCTACAAATGTTCCACCTGTATATGATTTGTCAATCGATATAATAATAAAGGCACATAAATTTTGATTCAAACGTTTCTCCTAATTTTTGTACATGTACCTCTATATTTTCCTGAGATATTGTACATTGAAGTCGCCCTTGTCAATAAAGTGTTTGTTTTGAATGCCTCCGCACGTTTTACGAGAACTGCATTTTCCCTAATTAACAATTCGGAAGAGTGTTTGTGTATAATGTGTCGCATTTTTTAATCCACCGAAGAATTATCGAAAAAGTTCTTTAAAACATTTTTCGATGTGCAAATAGCCCCCAACGAAAGACGGTGAAAGTAATCAGGTTATCGGAAAATAAACTCTCGCTTAAAAGAAAAAGGGATATAAACCTGTTTGTGTTGTAAAGATATAAATTGCATGAATTGTACAAATAAACATATTGTTTTAAAGTGTAATTTCCTTTTGACTGCTGAGTTTTTTAGGGGGGATTTTTGTTCAGAGGTGAGCCTAATTATTCGCTATCAGTGACCTTAGACAATACAACACATTGGTTCCCAACTCGTAGTAAGTAAGATCTGGTAAACCTACTGCAGAAAAACGTCAAAACGTCAAAAAGTCGAAACGTCACAACATCCAAACGCCAAAACGGTGGGCAATTAGAATGGTGTCACGTCCATACGGTGTACTTTGACACAGGAAGTGTACTGCTATGACGTCACAGTATATAGGAACCTTTGATTCTGTCAGCGACTGAACTTTCCATACGTATTCAAAAGAGAAGTAAAAGGGCTTATCCAAGTAATGTTTAAGATGGCATCTTTAGCATTGGACATAAGATAGTAATTTTGAAGAATGATGTATCTGGTGAGGCAACTATCTCTCACTTTAAGAAAGAAAATGATGGAAATCTAGATCTTCCTTCTATTCATGTATGGTGCAGAGACCTGGACTTTTGACAAAGAAAAACAAAAAAGATGCGTTCGAGATGTGGTGCTAACGTAGAATGGCCAGAATAAGTTGGAAAACAAACAGACGAACAATGAGGTATGTCAGATTCCACACACAAGAAAAACTCTGCGAAATAAAAACGAAAATTGCTATATTTATTGTCTTGAGGGGTTAGTCCTTATATCATATGACTTTGATTTTTATTTCAAAGTCTAAATGTTAATCTGAACTGTCAGGTTTGTTTCCATAATTTGAGTAGTTTTAAAATGTCCTACAGATCCTCACCGGCTTATTGAAAATAGACATCAATACGAAACACTCCTATTGTGTAATAAAAACTGATTCACAAGAAAAAGAGATACTGGCAGATTTCACACCATTGCTGGTTGTGTGTTTATTTGAGCCGCCTTGTATTATAATATAATAAATATAGAGAATCTTCCAAAGAGTAAAAAGAGCTATTAAAGAACAACAATCGGCATTCTACGAGTATAATCACTATAATGCATATGTATATGTTTTAAATAAGAATATTATATTCCTCTTGTATCTCCGAGGATGTTGCATTAGAATATTATCCCCTTGCATCTCCTAAGATGTTGCATTCAGACACATCGGAGTCTGTGATGGTGTAGTTGGACTCTTCGCTGGTGTACATAGAGTACATGAGTTCGGTTCCCCAGTGGGAAAGTGTTTTTAACCGACAATCCAATAGTGGCTACTGGTGTGTTGTATCCCTTTCGGCTAGGATTGTCCCTGGGTTCTGGCATGACGAGAAGAAGCAGCCCGCCTCCTAGTGATCTAGGGTATGTCTACGGGGACATCTCGCTATTTTCAAAGCTCTATCAACTCAGCACCTAGTTTTGAGAAATTTAGTTTCACAGTATCATGTAACACTTTTTCAAAGTGCAATTCTCTGAATATTTTGATAACGACTCCGAATATTCGTACGATTTTGATAGAGCAGAGAGAGCTTTTGGTTTCTGACCTCATGGTCTTAGTAACACAAAACGAGGAAGCGATATAACATTCACAAGAACAGTCATCTACATCTCCATTCGACTACACTTTGACGATAGCTCACCGTTATCTGTCATGGAAAGATTATATTTATAATAATAATATAGGAAATTAAACATGGACATAGTTCACATTTTCTCGTCAATGTAAACACCGTGCTACGTTTCATCGTTCTTCCAAAATCAAAACTCTTGTTACTATAAACATTTCTAGCACTTACATATAAATATGCATCTTCACGTCTTTTTTTCCCCGTATGAGCGAAATACCGAGTTCGTTTCTGTGGAGAAGAAGCCTCCTCGGTTCACGGTACAGTCTTCATAATATGTTCACTTTGTCGTTGGGATTTCACACAAACCGTTCTATTTGAAATGCAGAACAAAACAGAGGAAAGGAAATGTCAAAAGCACAACACACAACGCCCAGCTCAGTCTCTGGTTGTATTCATTTGAACAATTTTGAGGCCGTGGGGGGGGGGGGGTTCTGAATATAATTTCTTATGACAAAGAATGACCCTGTTTCATATTGGTGAATGACAATTTTCAGAGACGTGTCGCTCCCTTTATTTACAAATAAACACACATATTTACTTATCCCAAGCCATTATTCTTTTCTTGAATTGCGAAATTAAAAAATCTGTCAGCCAGTCGGGAAGAAAACTCAGAGGAATGTATACGTATTTAGCATCGATGCCCACCACATACCGCGTCCGAGGGTATCTGGCTGTGATAGCATGGACGTAGGCGTCGATCACGTGGTCTATTGTCGTGGAGGAGTGGTCGCTAAAATACTGCATACAGCTGTGCACTGGAGAAGAGAATGGTCACTTCACTATTAAGTTGGACTGAAAATACGAAACAATAACTTAGAATTCGACTGTTATATTTTTTTAAACCACCCCAAAACAGTTAGTTATACAGAGAGTTGTAACAAGCTAAAGAAAACTAAATATCCCGTGAATGTAGATGTATAGTTATAGAATATACACACAAGCGTACATATATATA